CTGTGTGCTGTTAACATGCAATTGAGCCGAGAGATGGATCACCTCTAAATCTGTAATTTGCTAAACACCCTGATATGTTCTTACCAAATCCACCATTCTGGGTCACTCAGCTACAGATATTCTTCAAGTAAGCAAACCAGTTCAACAGTAGCTGCTAGTTTATCCCTCTAAACTATTCACAAACCATGTTTTTCTCAATCCAGCACTGCTGCTCTTTCATTTAGTTTAGAATAAATAAACCTTACTACGGCCAACACAGCTTAGCCTGCTAGCCGTTTAGCACAAGGCCTTATAACATTGGCTAGCTAACATCGACATTTCGACCTAGGCTCTCATTGGCGTGCAACCTACTCTCCTGAGAGCGCCTGCAGAAGACATTTTTGTGGGGCTTTGGTCAGTAACAAGAATAGCCATCTTACCGTGAGTGTGTCATCGATATACAAGGGAATCTGCCTTGCGAGGAAAAGATAGTCCTCCTCCCCGTCTCTGCACACAGCCACCAGGCGCGCCATGTCTTTCTCCCAGCTAGTGCCACCGCAGCTCTCCCTGTGTACAAGGCAGCTTAAATTAGTCATGAATTCGCACTTTAATACCTCAGAATATCTTCACAAAGTCTTCTCAGCGCCATCCCTCCAACGGAGACACGGAGAAGCTCTGGACCACAAAGCCACCAAGTTAACCCACTAACCTTTTAGGTCTTATTCGAACCCGCTAGCACTGCCTCAGGTAGCCAGCGAGCTAAACAGCCTGTTAAGGATTATTAGCTTGCTGGAGAAACAGTCTGCTTGAGCAAAGAGGCTTAGCTACAGCTACTTAAAGCCTAGCAGACGTTAGCTGACTCGTTGAACCTAGCCAAGAGGTTACGCCCAGTGGCAGCTTAGTTCATGTTATTGTACGTTTAAAAAGCTTTTAAACTGGTCACACGATAATACGGTCGAGTGATACTTAGGTAAGGCATCGGAATTACTTGGAAAGCGAAATAAATATGCACGTCTTTCAGAATGAAACCAATAACTCAAGGAATCATGTCTATGCACGTAACCAGCTAATGTTAGCTCGCTACTTAGCTAGGTTAGCTAGCTTGACACCAACGCTATACTCAATTATTTGTAAACAGTGGCACCAGCATATTAAGTGAAAAGCTAGACTTGTACGTTTACTTGTGTGGAGAAGGACAAGTACAGTCTCTTTTCCTACAAAGCGTCTTCACAGAGGCACAACTTGGACCATTCGCCAGCTTCTTGCTCGAATTTTCCCGTTCCACCTTAAATGGTGCAGCAACTGCCGCACCATTTAAGGTGGAACGGGAAAATTCGAAAAGGAAGCCAACTTGAGCCTCACCAACGTATCTGGATAGCTAGTTAGATACTGGGCGCTAAGAACAGGCTGTCGGGTACACTTTGACTTGCAATCAATGATGTGGCTAGTTAGCTGGCTAAATTACCATAGCTGACAATTTAAACCTTAAAGTTGATACAATTAAAACCAGCGGTACGTAGTGAAAAAGCACAACAGGTGGCTACTCAAACATCATTTTCTTACAAAAACTGGCCACATTATGCGGAACAACCAGCTTGTTCACGGGAGTTTAACCATCAAGTGAACTTCAACATGCTAACGCTAAGCTAGCTATGACAGCTACGGTCGCTAAGCTAGCTGCAGAGTCCGGTTGCTAACCAACGAAAATAAAAAAGCTGAACGCGGTGAAAAATGTAAATTCAAGACAGACTTAACACAATACACCCCGAATACGTTTACATACACTTTACAGTTGTAAAATAACGAAGTATGACGACCCAGCGTCCGCTACCTTAACACGTCTTCAGGATATGTGGACGGACAGCAACGACACCGGAGCGTCTGAGCGACTCGCAACTCTAAACGCGAAGTTCACATTAAATAAAACCACCGAGCGACGCTGCAGTTAAGGAGCCCCCAGTTTACACTCGGTACGAAACAGAAATCCTTATCAAACATTATCGTGCACGACAGCCGGACTCACCCCTTTCAAAAGTCGCTGTTTTGTATAAAAACAAACAAGTGCGACACCGAGCCGAGCGTGACGAGAAATTTCTCGTAACCTTTGCACTGGAAGACGCCAGCAGGACTTGTAGCCGAGATGTTGCTGTGCCGTCCCCCGCTGTTCCGTCACGCTAATACCGGAAGAACGGAACAGCGGCCCGAGTGCCGGTACAGGATAGCCGCAATTATGGGCAATATTATAAGCTGTAATGAAAATATTTTTATACGGAGCCTTACTGGTGACATCCTGTATAAATAAAAATAAAGGATGCAATAAAAATATTTTTATACGGAGCCTTACTGGTAACATCCCGTATAAATAAAAATAAAGCATGGGCGTGATATATATATATATATATATATATATATATATATATATATATATATATATATATATATATATAAATACCGATCAGGCATAACACTATGACAACCTCCTTGTTGTTTACCCTGTTCTTCAGTGGCCAGGACCCCCATGGACCCTCACAGAGCAGGTACTATTTGGGTGGTGGATCATTTTCAGCTCTGCAGTAACACTGATGTGGTGGTGGTGTGTTAGTGTGTGTTGCGCTGGTCTGAGTGGATCAGGCACAGCAGTGCTGCTGGAGTATAGTAAGTGGAGCTGATAAAATGGACAATGAGTGTAGAAACAAAGAGGTGGTTAATGTTATGCCTGATCGGTATATATGTATATATATATATATATATATATATATATATATATACATACAAAGTTTTCTCTTTATATGTTGAGTGAGCAATGAAGTCGGTCTCGCAGCATATATATATATATATATATATATATATATATATATATATATATATATATGTGTAGATAGATAGATAGATAGATAAATATATGATATTCTAAGCAAAAATAAGTTAACACATATCTACCGAGAGCACACTCTGCACAATTACTGTCTTGTGCAAAATATATGTAATATATATTATGGCAGATAAATGTATAAAATAATTTTAATATACTATTCCTGTACCATTTAAAGTGGAACGGGAAAAATTGAATAACTTCAAATTCGAATACTTCACAATACAACTTCACAATACAAGTTTATATAATTACAAATGATCAGTAGTAAAATAAGTAAACCTGAAATAAATAACTTAATAAATAATACACAGAACAATAAACAGAAACATATGTATGAGTTATAATGAAAGGAATACACATGATATGCTTCCATTTCAAAACTTACAATCACATCGGAGGGCAGATTACAAAACTTCCCAAAAATAGATAATTACAGTATATTAATTATTCTTAAATAATGTTTTGATGTTGACAGAATACTTAAAATATTGAAGATGGTGTTTAAAAGTACTTATCTTTGTTGTCTTGTTTACAGTATTTAAATCTGCATTCTATAAGTTGTAGTATAAGTGATTCCAAACTTTTGAACAGGACATACAGTATACACTCTATGTATGCCTAAAAGCATGTCCCCCGTTGCTGCAGTAACAGCCTCTACTCTTCTGGGAAGGCTTTACACTAGATGTTGGAACATTGCTGTGAGGGTTTGATTGCATTCAGCCACTAGAGCGTTAGTGAGGTCAAGTACTGATGGTGGATGATCAGTTCTGGGTCACTCCAGCTCATCCTAAAGGTATTGGATGGAGCTCCATCACTCCAGAGAATGCAGTTCCACTGCTCCACAGTTCAGTGCTGGGGCTTTATACCCCTCTGCTTGGCATTGGGCCTGGTGATCATAGGCTCATGTGTGGCTACTCCAGAGCATCCTGTTCTACTAGCAGTGCTATTCTATGGAGATTATACAAGCTGTGTGTGCACAATCGAATGAATTCTGTTTTACCTGTATTAAATTGAAAACATACAAAAACATATTTGATGTCTTACTTTATAAACCTTTTTTTTTGTTGTTTTTTGCTTTTGTAAACACACACTCGTTCCAAATTTACTGCCTGCAACACGTTCCAAAAAAAGTTAGAAAAGAAGCATGTCTACCACTGTGTTATATCACCTTTCCATTTAACAACACTTAATCATGTTTGGAGACAGAAGACACAAACTGATCCAGTTTTGAAAGCAGAATTTTTTGCCATCCTTCAGTTATGCACCATAGAGGGTGAGGTATTTTCTGAACATTTAACATCGTTCCTAGGCTTAAATTTCTCCTGTCTAAACTTTTTTGGAACATGTTTCAGGCATTAATTTCAGTATGAGTGCATATTTACAAAAACAATAAAGTCGATTTATAAAACATTAATTATCCTGTCTTGGGACGGCTTTCATTTAAATACAAGTCAAAGTGGATTGACAAATCACTGTTTTTATTTGTATTTGCATTTCACATAATGTCCCAACATTTTCTTTTTCTTTTTTTTTTTGAGACCTTCTGGATATGTCGTCTATGCACTCCTGGTGAAATTTTGCTAGGCCGGCCACTACTGGGAAGATTCACCACTATTCCAAGTTCTCCATTTGTGGATAATGGTTCTCACTGTGGTTCGTTGGAGCCTTAGCAATGGCTTTGTAACCCTTTCCAGACTGATAGATTTCAATGACTTTGTGTCACATCTGTATTTGAATCTCTTTAGAACGTAGCAACATGCTGCTTTTTGGGACCTTCACATTGGTGAAATTGAACCCAGTTGTCAATTGAATTTGGTGTACTGGTTGATTTAGTAGCTGGGGGGCAATTACTTTTCCACACAGGGCCATTTTTCTTTCAATAAATGAAATCATCATTTGAAAGCAGCATTTTGGGTTGTCTTCGTCAAATATTAAACAAAGTTTGATGATCTGAAACATTCAAGTGTGACAAATATGTAAAAATAGAAAAACTGGGAAGGGGCAAATATTTTTTCACAGCACTATGTCAACTATGCTCTCAACAAAAAGGCAGTGAACAGGACAGTAAAAGACTATCTTCTGTAAATAGTAATGTTTGTTTAAGGCCTCACAGCCATTAAAAACAGGCATTTGTTCATTGAATTCACTTTAAATGAAGTCTTTTATTTAATGTTACACGTTCATCGTTACACAACAGCCTGGTCATAGTTATTCAAGTCATGACGTATTTGTCACATTAGCATCATCAGTTATTGTAAACTGATTACAACAATGCAAAAAACATTACCAAAACTTAATTGTAATATTCTTGATATGTAAAATGAATATAGCCAAGCTGTTTGCGAACATGTACAACAACAAAACGCAGACAGCAAAGAAATTGTTGCTTTTCAACGTGTCTACAAGTATGTTGGTTAAACCAGTCATCAGATTTGCCAGTAGGAAAAACAATAATTGGTTCCTGTTCACGGATTGAACGAGGCACAACGTATCCATTTTTTTCCTTAGCTTTCCCTCTGTTTGTGAACTCCCAGATGGATTCCAAGATGTTGACACAAGAGAGAAATTTGACACCACTTTTGCAAAAAGCAGTGCAATATCACCGATACTCAAGCAGGACAGAAAAAACAAAGACTGGGCCACAGTCCATATACAGAATGACAAGTTGGCCATCCGACGTGAAACTGGCTCTATGTATGTCTGGCACACATGTAAAATGAGCCAGAGTCCAAAGCTCCCCAACAGAAGGTTCCGGACCACCCGTATCCAGTCTTTGACCAAAGTTCTTGTCCGCATTAGATAGAGGCCTACTTGAACTCCGGCCATGTAGATGGCGATATAACCCACCACGGAGAATATTCCCTCTCTGTTGGCTTCTAGAAAGCTGTTCCGCTCACCATTCTGGGTGATAAAAGATTTCAAATCTGTTGTCTCCAACACAACTTGGTAAACCCCACTTATCAGCAAAGCCACGAGCCAGGAGCTGTTGATTGGAAATATAATGAGAAGAGCAGACGCCACCACTCTCACTATGGCTAGAGTGAAGAAAAAGTTCCAGTGGACCCCATACTCCGTCACATGCTCATGATAGCCCGTCGACTTCACGCTTGCTAGCCTTACCAAGCCGAGGAGGATCAGGGGCCACACTGAGAGAAGCTGTTTAACCAAATGGCTGAATTTGGAGCCCTGAATCTTCTTTCCTCTAGCTTCTGGACAAACCAGAGCATTGGCCATAACATAGGCCCCCACGCCAAAGTCCATGACCCCTGTCCCATAGGTCTCCGTTTTTGCGTAACGTCTTGGAAACACACTGAAGTCGACGGCCAAGATGCTGATGGCCGTTTTCACGTTGACCAGCACACGGAATGCAGTCACGAAGGGAACAAGGTTGGACTCCACATGGCTGTGCACAAAGCTGTCCAACGAACTGAGGATGGACCCATGAGAGGAAGTTTTTTTGTTCCTATACAAGAGGAACAGAACAAAAAGGTCAGCCACAGCCAGACCTATAATGACCCAGTGAAGAATGTCGCTGAGAACAGTACATGACAGAACCAGGGGCATTATCAGCATGGTGAAATCCAAGAGAAGATGGGCACCCTTGGCAAGTGGCAGAACACCTCTACAGAGGTGAAACACTACCAGGAACAGCCCTCTGCTGAGAAGACAGAGAGGTGCAAGGAAGGATCCCAGAGACACTTCAACCACAGTCGTGCCATTGAGGTTGCTGACAAACGCAACCTTCACTTCTGCCTCGGCCATTGCCTGTTGAAAAATGGGAGTGACATGAAAGAGGATGATTAAAGGCGTATAATAATGTGCACAGCGATTTGACATTCAGTGTAGGGCTGAACGATTTGGGAAAAATATCTATGTCAATTGAATTCCAGGCCAGTTATTTTGGCCAAGTAGACCAGAACATCCACTTTTTCTGGCTTGAGACTTTAGCACTTGAACATGCCAGACTGCAGTTAGTTGCGTTTGTGATGTCACAGCATACAGTTGTTTGGTTGCTTCTGATCCCTAGAACACATTTACAGGCAAATTACAAGCTCTGATATTAGGCTAATGTTCCCCAATTAAGAAAACATTGTTAATAAAAAAATAATTAAAATTGTAGCTCTTGTGATTTGAAAATTGCACTCTTTTAAATTGATAAAACTTGTAACACTTTCCAACAATTCTGGTCCTGATAATGCATTAGCAGCTAGCAGGGAAATAGAAACAAATGAAATTACAACAGCCCACCCTCATATATCCCAAAAAGGTGTGTATTTTTTTTTTTTAAAAAAAGGGCCTCTAACCTTCAATATATATCATCAGAAGATGCTAACTAACTTTCTTCAGCACTGTGGGATCTGAGTAGGCATGTTTACAACAGATGCAGCGATGGTTACATTTTCATTTTGGCTGAAGTGCCTCTTTAAAGGCACTAAATAATTAAATGGTTGAGATGCAAACAAAGCCATTCAGAGTGGTTTGATGTGATATGCTCTGTACTAGAGAAACTTGCAGAGTCAGAATTGCTCACAGGGGTGGTAATAGGAACCGGACATCTGAAGAGTTAAATGTCCCTGAAAGCTCCCTCATAGAAGGTTAATAAATAAAGTGGTTAGATACATGCTACCTCATGTCTTACACGTTGTGTTATGATAGATCTGTGATAAAGTTTTGGCTTAAAATGTATTCATTTGTTTTAAGCCATTCATGGCGGAGGGGTACCTGCAGGGTGTTGTTAGGCAAAATAGTCCCCAAAGAAAACTACAATTAACATTACATTTAAACTCAGAAGACATGGTGGTTTTGGATAATAAGTATAATGGCTATATTTGCGTTGTAGACACAGCGACCCCTGGTTCCCATCACCGCCACTGTAGAGATGGGAGTGTGTACCTTTCTCTGCATTGAACCATTTCGCACCAAACCATTCCAAACGATTCTGTTTACATCTCAGGGACTTTACGCAATGCCAAAACGAGGTATAACCACAGGGTGAACCCCAAATGGCTCTCTATTCCCTCTCTAGTGCCCTAGCAAGCTACATAGGCTGTGAAACACCGCCTTCTACACTCGAATAGGGCACTAAAATTCCAACGGTTGGCGATTCGGGATTTGTCCACTGACTCTATTAGCAACACAGATCATTTGAAAAATAACACAGGTCGGCAGCTTAAACCTAAAATGGAACCGAGAAGACATTTAACCTACCTTCACACTTCTGATGTATGGAGAAAAATTGTGAGTGAGCTAATATTTCATTTTGCCGGCAGGTTTCGTCAGCCGCCTAGCAACGGCCGCCGAGCTAGCCTGTGAAGGCAAACCGACGAAAGAGCCCGAATGAAAGAGATATAAGGTGGTATACTCTGAAACAGGCGTGTTACTTTGTGACCTCTTGCTCCTCGCTTAAAAATATTTGAGTGAATCTGAAGTTTTCTTTTCCGTGTGTGGACTCGTTTCCCCGTCTCTGTGGACGTTTGTGTGTACTACGTCACCGCGGGGGGCGTGTCCGAGAGTGACGTTGCTCGGTTTTGGAGCAGCCGGAGCGGTTAGTGAGCGAGCTCAGCTCTTCGCTCGGGAGTTTAACTGACAGAGGAGTGAGAAAAGACCGACGTTTTTTCCTCTCTAATGGCGGGGTCTTGGGATTAGAAAGAGTTTGAAACGGTCTGTCCCGAAAGCCGGGTTCTCGCCGTCATGGCAAACGTCAAGCAGAAACTTCTGTTTAGGAATAAACCCGCTGTGTCCGCTGACAGTGTGGACGGGACCGTTGCCAGATCCATGAATTTTGAAAAGGCTGGCCGGGCACCACGTCACGGAAAGGTATGCTAAACGTTAGCTGCCCCGTGGAGATGCACGACTTTTGTTATCTAATTATTTTCAGATATATTTTAAGTTTCCTCCGTTCAGATTTGACCGCATGTCATAATTTTCTCCTAATGATGCTGTGAAGCAACTGGTGTGAGTGGAAAAGCTAAACAACTGAACAGAAAATGTGTCATGAATGTGTCTTTATGGACAGACATGGTTTTTTCTGTACTTAATAACTTCAGTTAGGCAGTGTTTTGGTCTCTGTGACATTTTTGTGACGGTTTTATATGAATTGGCTATATTAAACTTTAATATGATGAGTTTTTTAGCATCAGATGATATATAAGATAGCTTATATAAGTTTAAAGGGAAAATTCGCCGAATTTTCAAAAATTCGCCGAATTTTCAAAAATTCGTACATAATTATTTAGTTAAAATGTAAACAAAGTCATTCAGAGTGGTTTGGTGTGAAATGCTCTGTTGTAGAAAAACATATCGAGGCAGAATTGTTCACAGTGTTGGTTATAGGAACCAGACTTCTGAGGAGTTTAAAAGCTCCCTCACATAAAGCGAATACATTTATATGGTTAAGAATATGGTGCCTGCTGTCTGAGACATTGTTTTACTAAAGGTTTAAGGTAAGGATTTGGCCTAAAACATATTTTTAAAAGCCATTCATGGCGGAGGGGTATACATAGGGCGTAGTGAGGCATAATAGTCCCCAAATACTATTTTATCATGATCATCATCACATATAAAATCAGAAGACACGTGTAAGTTTACTGGTGGTTTTGGATCGTAAACGGTTCCTATCACCACCACTGTGAAGAAATCTAAGTTGGCAAGTTTCTCTACAATGAATCATTTCACACCAGACCACTCTTAATGAGTTTACATTTCAGACTATTTGAATTATATAGAAATTTTGAAAAATTTGGTGGAAGTCCCCTTTACTACAGCCTACTATGTACTGCTACTCTGCACCAAAAGGATGTCTTACAAACCTGACATGGGTTGTTTTGGTTGAACTGTGTTCCACTTTCGTCTCTTAAAAATGACACTAAAGGGAACTTTACACAATGTTGACCAGACAAAAATTAGATTTCCAGAAAGGAAAACTATTTATTTACTTTTTATTGATTTTAGGCTGTTCTTTCAGATGAAGCCCAGAGCATCCAGCAATTGATATGCAGAGCACATCGAATTACAAAACTAAAAATGACTTAACAACAGGGACACCTCAGTTTTTGGCCAATATATGATGGATATAGTGGTCATTATCTATCAAATATATCATTAAAAATATTACTGACACTGAAAAGTAATATCATGGTTTCTTAATATCACAGTGTACTGATGTAGACAGTATATAGTATGCTTTCCTGGTTCTACACGCCTGTGTGAAACACCGTTGTTGTCATTCCTGTCCTGCACATGGCGAGGTGGTGCCTGGATTAAGCAGCTGTCAGTCTAATCTCACTGTGCTCACGTTGCCTGCATTCACATTTCGGTCTAGACTTGGATTATTGAGTCCAAGTGCCATCCTGTAATGTGAGAAGCATCCACCTAAACATGCTTTACATTGAGGCTAATGCGCAATGTGGTGCCAAGTCCAACTAAATGTGTGTGTCCTCTTTTTATTTATAGGACAGAGATCATTTATTAAGAAGGGCCATCTTATTTTATTTACTTTTTGTCATTTTATACTATGAACCACCATACCCTAAAGCTGTGGTTCTTTAAACAAATCAGTCAAGTGAAGTTTTGCTTGAATCCCCAAATCCAATAAAGAGTTCTGGAACATCTGAATGAGAGAGATTAAAATAAGTTGTTGTTCTGAGTGCATAATTGAATTAACCTAAAACTCAGATCCCGCTGAAAATCACTCTGGCTCCAGTGTCTTGTTCAATAGAGATGAATTTGTCTGCTTACTCTATTCATAGCTCTGGTGGTAAAGTGGCTTGAGCTTCTGGAGCATTTGATTCCATTCCATAACCCAGAGCCTATTAGTCATGTTCTACTGAAACTTTTTTTTTTTACTGCTTTTTCTTACTCAGAATAGAAACAATTTGCTGAGATAAAATCTCAGGACAGACAATGTGATAAAAATAAATGCAAATAGATAATTACAGTATATTATTTATTGTTCTATAATGTCTCTGTTCACAGATATTGAACAAAACATCTAAAATATCTTTTAGTGAATATTTTGTAATGTTTCCGTCACATTGCTTTGAATTTAGTATGTTATTTGATTTGCAGCTGTTGATGTTTTGCAGTATTCTGTAACTCAGCATTGCATCAGTTTGACAGAATTCATGATTTTTACACGCTTTTTTTTGTATTCAGTATTATCAGTGTTCTCTCACTATGATACTCAGCATGTATGACGTAAATACGTCATACCACTATTGGGAAGCCCCGCCTATATGGTGATTGAGGGAATACACCAGTGTAGAGTGCTAATACATATAGATCTATAGTGATATTTGGCTTCCTAACAGAACAATTCAAACAGCCTGCCTCCAAAAATCCACCCCAAAGCATAGTTTTCCAATAGTTCATCCCTCCTTCAGAATACATCATGAGAAGGGGGTTTTCCCGGTCTTTAAACTAGAAAACATAACGTTAGAGACAAATGTAGCGATGTTTACATTTTCCACTTTGGCTGGAGTGTCTCTTTAACATGGCAAACGATTCCAAACTGTTCAGTTGTAATGTATATTTTGAATAGCATCTGGTTTCATGTCCCTCAGCTTCGGAAGTACTTCATGTGCACAGCTGATGAAGGAGCCTGTCCGTCATATTCTGTCTCTTAAAAATAATCGGTACATTACTCAATTAATCATTTAATTAATGGTGACAGCTCTGCCGAAACACAAACATTCAGTGATCTTGCTAGGTAACGCTGCTTCTTTCTTCCGCATGATTTAGTGCTTTACTCAGAGGGTGTGTGCGTTTTGTTGTGCCTATGGATTATGCAGGCATTCGTTCTTCAGACTTAGTATATAATTAGCCTAGTCTCCAGCATGTGTAGCCCTGCTCTGCTCTAGGCTTTCCTCACAGCAAGGCTACAGGCTGTTATTACAGAACGAGATCACTGAGATTTCCTCCTCCTCCTTCTCCTCTTTCATTTCTCACATATATTTCTCACACTTTGAATGACTTGCTTTAAGGCTATTATGATAGATTACTAATACAAAGTCTTTACAGGTCTTTGTGGATTGTGGAGATTATGTTTGGGTGCGTATTCTGAACCTTAATATTCTTTTGGTATGTTATTTGGAGTTACGTGGAGGTGGGCAGCGCCAATTTTCAGAGCCTGGCATAGTCTTAAGATAATACCGTGGGATAAATCACAGTGATTGAGACTTTAGATTAAGGAGGAATTCCACTGATTTTTCACAAATTTGGCATAATTACACAGTTAAGATGTAAATGCATTCGTTCAGAGTGCTTTAGTGTGAAATGCTCCGCTCCAGAGAAACGTCCTGAGTCAGAATTGTTCACAGTGTTGGTGATAATGTCCAAAGTGTTCAAGTCTCTAAAAGCTCCCTCAGGTTTTATAAAGTACCAAAAATGAATACTTTTAAACATATATATATTTATATATTTAAATGGATGGATACTGTGATGGATACTGTATTTGGACTTGATTTGTCTTTAACAAATAGAACCAACTGTAAACATTAAAATTGCCTTACTTATCCAATAGGGTACTCAAAGAACTAAAACCCATATTTTAGGTGCCTCAAATAACCTTCCCATGTAGGCTAATGGGAGGACCCCTCCCATGACCGGAGGGACCCATGACAGTCTACAAGCTCTTACAGTTACCTCACTGGGTTCCATTGATCACCACTCTTCAGTTCTAGGTTCCTGGTGGAACTCTCTTCTTTTGAGTGAGCCTCAATCAGTTTTGGGGGTTCTTTGAAGAATGTATAGGCCTAATCCTGGACTTTTTGGAGTTCTTCAAAGTCCTCCTGTGCTCTCCTTAAGTAACCAAAAGGCATGCTGAGTTTGGTCAGTAGGAGGCCTCAAACCCCAAAACAAACTGAAGTTCCTTGAATAACCTAGAGTTTAAGAGTTAGCTGTTATATCCATGCTGGATAAAACAGCTCCTCAAGGAAATTTGTAAATTGTCATAGATTCCTCGCTGCTCTTAAAAAGTACCATAAGGGTTCCACCAGTATGGCAAGCTGAGGAAAAAAAGGTGTCTTAAGTGTCTTTTTATTATTTACAGTGAATAAAAGTGGCTGGGTAAAATATACATTTCTTAAATTCTGAATCACATTCAATGATTCCTATGCCCATAAAGTAAGGATGACATAGTACAATACCATTAAAATGTCATCCCTTCTTTCAGATGTGTAGATGATAGAAAAATGTGATGATAGAAAAATAGTTTCATAGCCTGGTAAATAGGCCTGTCACAGTTATTGCATGGGCCTCACAATAACAACATGGCAGTAGTTTATGAATGGTGTGAACACAGTTTTGAGGTCCATTATGTGATTTACCTTTTCCCACATCCGTTAATTCATTTAATGAATTGTAAACTTTCACACTTGATACATTATTATCTGCTTGTGCAAAATGATATACTGTTAAGTTATATTGGCTTGCAGTATATCATCACTTTAGGGAAAAAAGCTATCTCATCTCCAA